TGGTATACTATTTGACTGCTGGGCCGATATGTGGAGGAGCTAGCTTTTGTGGTGTAGTATGTGGTATACTATTTGACTGCTGGGCAGTAAGTGGGGGAGCTAGCTTTTCGTAGTGTAGTATGTGGTTTCCTATTTGACTGCTGGGTTGATATGTGGAGAGCTAGCTTTTGTGGTGTAGAATGTGGTCTACTATTTGACGGCTGGGCTGATATGTGGAGGAGCTAGCTTTCGTGGTGTAGTATGTGGTATACTATTTGACTGCTGGGCTGATATGTGGGGAGCTAGCTTTCGTGGTGTAGTATGTGGTCTACTATTTGACTGCTGGGCTGATATGTGGGGATCTAGCTTTTGCAGTGTAGTATGTGGTATACTATTTCACTGCTGGGCTGATATGTGGGGAGCTAGCTTTTGTGGTGTAGTATGTGGTCTACTATTTGACTGCTGTGCAGATATGTGGGGATCTAGCTTTTGCAGTGTAGTATGTGGTATACTATTTCACTGCTGGGCTGATATGTGGAGGAGCTAGCTTTTGTGGTGTAGTATGTGGTTTATTATTTGACTGCTGGACTGATATGTGGGGATCTAGCTTTTGCAGTGTAGTATGTGGTTTACTATTTGACTGCTGTACAGATATATGGGGAGTTAGCTTTTGTGGTGTAGTATGTGGTATACTATTTGACTGCTGTACAGATATGTGGGGAGTTAGCTTTTGTGGTGTAGTATGTGGTTTATTATTTGACTGCTGGACTGATATGTGGGGATCTAGCTTTTGCAGTGTAGTATGTGGTATACTATTTGACTGCTGTACAGATATGTGGGGATCTAGCTTTTGCAGTGTAGTATGTGGTTTACTATTTGACTGCTGGACTGATATGTGGGGAGTTAGCTTTTGTGGTGTAGTATGTGGTTTATTATTTGACTGCTGGCCTGATATGTGGGGAGCTAGCTTTTGTGGTATAGTGTGTGTATTTGACTGCTGGGCTGATATGTGGGGAGCTAGCTTTTGTGGTGTAGTGTGTGTATTTGACTGCTGGGCTGATATGTGGGGGAGCTAGCTTTCGTGGTGTAGTATGTGGTATACTATTTCACTGTTGGGCTGATATGTGGAGGAGCTAGCTTTTGTGATGTAGTGTGTGTATTTGACTGCTGGGCTGATATGTGGGGAGCTAGCTTTTGTGGTGTAGTATGTGGTATACTATTTGACTGTTGGGCCGATATGTGGGGGAACTAGCTTTTGTGGTGTAGTATGTGGTAGCTTTTGTGGTGTAGTATGTGGTATACTATTTGACTGCTGGGCAGCTATGTGGGGAGCTAGCTGTTGTGGTGTAGTATGTGGTATCCTATTTGACTGTTGGGCAGATATGTGGGGAGCTAGCTGTTGTGGTGTAGTGTGTGGTATCCTATTTGACTGTTGGGCAGATATGTGGGGAGCTAGCTGTTGTGGTGTAGTAAGTGGTATACTATTTGACTGTTGGGCAGATATGTGGGGGAACTAGCTTTCGTGGTGTAGTATGTGGTATACTATTTGGCTGTTGGGCCGATATGTGGGGAGCTAGCTTTTGTGGTGTAGTATGTGGTAAATTTTTTGACTGCTGGGCAGATATGTGGGGAGCTAGCTTTTGTGGTGTAGTGTGTGGTATCCTATTTGGCTGTTGGGCCGATATGTGGGGGAACTAGCTTTTGTGGTGTAGTATGTGGTATACTATTTGACTGCTGGGCAGATATGTGGGGAGCTAGCTGTTGTGGTGTAGTTTACATGTGGTATACTATTTGACTGCTGGGCAGATATGTGGGGAGCTAGCTGTTGTGGTGTAGTAAGTGGTATACTATTTGGCTGTAGGGCAGATATGTGGGGAGCTAGCTTTTGTGGTGTAGTATGTGGTATCCTATTTGACTGCTGGGCAGATATGTGGGGAGCTAGCTGTTGTTGTGTAGTTTACATGTGGTATACTATTTGACTACTGGGCAGATATGTGGGGAGCTAGCTGTTGTGGTGTAGTTTACATGTGGTATACTCTTTGACTGCTGGGCAGATATGTGGGGAGCTAGCTTTTGTGGCGTAGTGTGTGGTATCCTATTTGGCTGTTGGGCCGATATGTGGGGAGCTAGCTTTTGTGGTGTAGTGTGTGGTATCCTATTTGGCTGTTGGGCCGATATGCGGGGGAACTAGCTTTTGTGGTGTAGTAAGTGGTATACTATTTGACTGCTGGGCAGATATGTCAGGGAGCTAGCTTTTGTGGTGTAGTGTGTGGTATCCTATTTGGCTGCTGGGCCGATATGTGGGGAGCTAGCTTTTGTAGTGTAGTATGTGGTATACTATTCGACTGCTGGGCAGATATGTGGGGAGCTAGCTTTTGTGGTGTAGTGTGTGGTATCCTATTTGGCTGTTGGGCAGATATGTGGGGAGCTAGCTTTTGTGGTGTAGTAAGTGGTATACTATTTGACTGCTGGGCTGATATGTCAGGGAGCTAGCTTTTGTGGTGTAGTGTGTGGTATCCTATTTCGCTGTTGGGCCGATATGTGGGGAGCTAGCTTTTGTGGTGTAGTATGTGGTATCCTATTTGACTGCTGGGCCGATATGTGGGGAGCTAGCTTTTGTGGTGTAGTATGTGGTATACTATTTGACTGCTGGGCTGATATGTGGTGGAGCTAGCTTTTCGTAGTGTAGTGTGTTGTATCCTATTTGGCTGTTGGGCAGATATGTGGGGAGCTAGCTTTTGTGGTGTAGTATGCGGTAGCTTTTGTGGTGTAGTATGTGGTATACTATTTGACTGTTGGGCTGATATGTGGTGGAGCTAGCTTTTCGTAGTGTAGTGTGTTGTATCCTATTTGGCTGTTGGGCAGATATGTGGGGAGCTAGCTTTTGTGGTGTAGTATGNTGGGGGGGGGGGGGGGGGGGGTAGCTTGTGTGAAGGAGTATGTGGTATACTATTTGACTGTTGGGCTGACATGTGGGGGTTAACTTTTTAAAACTGGTTTACATGACCAAAACAAATGAATTGTGTATTATGGAAATGTAGTTAAAAAGTATCATTTTATATGACCAATCGTTGCAATTAGCTGTCATGAGATACGTGTCTTTTCTACAGTGGTCATATTTACCCTAACTGATACGTGATACAGTACATCTGTCCATTTCGTCTGACATGATGTGTTTCCTCTGGAAAGTCTGTCGGATATTAAGCAGGATTCCTTGTAGAATAAAGCAGCATGTTGTTCACTGACTAGACAGGAGCGTGTAGTGTACATATTAATAACACAATGACTCTTTCACTTAGGGCTCCAGTATGTTTTACAGTCTGTGGTATACCTATGTAATCACAGTTCTAGCGTGTTTCCTGATTTGTTCTTTAAGTGTGAAAGGTGATAGGTGTACATTTCAGCAACTGCGTTTTTATTTAAAGTGCTTTAAGAAGTTCAGATCGGTCTGTTGTACATGAACTCGGTTCTACTGTCTTTAGGAACACATGTGTAACCTTAATTGAATAGGTGGAAATAAACAGGTGAATGCCAGCGTACGTGTCAACCAAATCATAATCAGAACGCTAATTCTTTGAAACTAGGGCAGAATATTAACAACGGGAAGATTTACATCGAGACCATTGCAACAGTGCAAGAAGAATAAGACCTTTTGTTCTGCCTTACTTGCCCGTGATTGTCTCTTACCCTTTTGACCCTGTTATACACCACTGTATTCATAATACAATGTTTACAATACAAGCTCTAAAATGTATTGTTAACGTGACGTCAAACTATCATTTTGACTGGGGAACCCCTGTCTCAACCCATATATATTCTCACCCATTAGACAGATAGACACACTTCCGGTCAGGTACAGATATCTCTGTCTTATCCTAGGGTTGAGACGGGGAATTCCCTAGTCACTTCCGGTCAGGTAAAGATATCTCTGTCTTACCCTAGGGTGGAGACCAGGAATTCCCCTGTCACTTCCGGTTAGGTACAGATATCTCTGTCTTACCCTAGGGTGGAGACGGGGAATTCCCCTGTCCTAACGTCGTCACGTCAACAATAAAGGAGACCACGTCAACAATAGTAGATCACGACGGAAGATAACTTGAATATTCTGGAAATTATGAAATCAACGTTTGCGTTTCATGAAATTACCACTCGTATTTGATGTGGGAGATCATTAAATGTTTAGCATGAGGCTTCAGACTTTTAAGACATCACGTCAACAGTACAATGACGTCACATGAACAATGCATTGAGTTTGTAACGTTCATGCTTCATCACCCTTATGAAATTAAAGTTACTGTATTTATGCGCGCCTGTCATGGAATACAAACATATGAACACGTGTAGAGTATTGACAATGGCATGTTTATTTCGAGCATGGGAGAAACATGGGTATGGCCCATAAATAGGGGAATCTCAACCCACAGGTAAGAGTTTGGCTGTCCAACATTCGGTGACCCATGTAAGATTCTATTATTCTTGAAGGATAAGCATTTTCAGTCTATCAGTAATCTTATCTGTGCAAACTTTTAAAACGAACGCTTTTTTGTATTTTATTGAAGCTGAATTACAATGTACAAAAGTGAACGAAGAAAGAAGATGACATACTGGAATGGATTTTAGATATTTTGTCCTTAAAACAAAAATTAATTTATCATGATCCGACCTTTTCTCAGAAGCAACAGACCAGCACTCCTTTTCACGTCATTTCCGTGTCAAACACGGTTGATTTGCTACTGCAGAGCTTGTTGGTCTGGGTATTAATTATTTCCTGGATTAGCCACTTGGTGACGTCATCATTGGTATCCACCTGGAGCGTCTGGGTTCGCCACCTGTATGGTGTGCAGCAAAGTTATCGTTGTTGCTCCGAATAAGATTTCGCCTTTTTGTGTCGACGCTCTGCCCCTGGTAATTTTTTTTTCTATTTTTACTTTCAAATTTTCCAAAATAAAAATTTGACAATAAATATTATGCTGAATTGTCATGCAACCACACCATTTCAATAAGAAAGTGCAACAAATCCAAGCGTTTCAATCACCTTTATTATTGCAAAGTAGCATTAATTAAATTCTAGTGTTTAGAGTACACGGTATCTGCATATAAAACGTTTTATTTAATTAGAATAAATTCTTTGATTAAAAAAAATATACAAAATATTTGACAGGTTATAAAACCTGTTGACAATGAAGTTAAACTTTTGGTAACGAGCACAAGATGAGAGACGATATGGGGGAGGATCACTATGAAAATACTGTGGAATAACGATACCGTTGACAGGAGACGTTATGGAAAGGCTGTTGACGAGAGACGCTGTAGGAAAGACGATTATAACGATGTACCATTGACAGGAGACGTTATGGAAAGGTTGTTGACGAGAGACGTTGTGGGGAAGACAATTATAACGATGTACTTTTGACAGGAGACGTTATGGAAAGGCTGTGGACGAGAGACGCTAGGGGGAGACCATTAACATAAAATGTTGAAAGGAGACTCTATGGGTACGTAGGTGCAAATAACATTACTGTTGACAAGAGACGCTAGGGGAAGACCATTAAACTGTCATGTTGACTGCAGACTTTAGATATGAGTCGGTGCAAATAACAAAACTAAACTATTGACGAGACGCCAGTGGGGGAGACAACTACAACAATACTTTTGACGAGAGCTGCTTTGTGGGGGTTATTGGCAAGAGACATGGTATGGTTGATCGCTTTAGCAATTACTTATAATGTTGACAAGAGACGCTATAGGGGAGACCAGTAAAACTATAGGTTTTGATACGAGACTCTATGGGTAGGTGCAAATGACAATATTGTTGACATGTAACGCTATTATAACAATTCAGTGGATTATAATAACAAAGCTACTTATATTTATTATATAGTAATATATACATATCCAGCTAACAGCATATCCTAATAATATTAACACGTGTTTCATACCAATTGCATATTTTACAAGAACTTATATTGTAAATGAACAAAATATAAATGAAATACACTATTTACATTCATGCCTATTGTCTACTCTGTATGTTTGTAGGTAGCTGCGGGAACCGTAGCTTCTATGTCCGATTTTTTTAAATATTTTTTTTTATTGTTATCGGACCATTTTATTGTTATCTATGGTCCGATAACAATAAAAATAAAAAAAATAAAAAATCGGACATAAAAGCTATGGTTCCCGCACCTAGTTTGTTGGCTGATACCTGGGGAACTTACCTTATCAATGCGTGACACGGCAACACTCCTTTCTGATAGTGCCACTTATCATATAGAACCTTAGTAGTATAGTAGGCTTAGCCATGCTAGGTTTACTAAGAAATGACGTGTGCTTGAATAGATTGAACACTCCTACCACAACAATACAATATCCGAGACTTTAACAAGGCTGAAATAGGTTCATGGGGACAAACTCTGGGTAGCCATGATCTTGTCCGAGATCCGTGAATTTATTGCCGTTAATTAAGGGAAATATATTTCAGTACATTTGTTGGACATAGGAAAGAAAAACATATTTATTGAGTGAGTGTATAGTACTAGGGATCTACTTGAAACATATGTTTACAAAAACAATCTGGTTATGTACGTTATGTATATAGTCATCATTATTTCCATTACTTTCTCACTACGCTGCATTCCTCCACGTGTTTGCGTTTCATGCACGTCTCTGATCCGTCCCACTTCCCCTTCACATATATTCTGGATTTCGTTGTACTTTTTAAGGGTGAATGAGGAGCGGATCACTGCATGGCAGATCAAAGAATTTATTCGGTTGGAACGTTGTATAGGAATACCTGTCGGGCCCTGTGATAGCTCCTCTTCTCACCCCAGTCAGACACAATTAAACGGCTCGGTCTCTATAAGGCCGTCATTTGACGTCGAACACAGCATTCGCGTTCGATAAAAATAAGCGTATTTTAGTCGTTCTAAAATACCATAAACATAATAATATGAAGAATGTTTTATATTTCAACACAAATGGCTTCACGGTCGAAAATCGAGCTTTCTTTTGGGTTGCCAAATTCACGGTTCCTCTCCAGGTCGTAAAAGTCTTTGATTTCGCCGTCAAATGTGGTCAGCGTGGAGCTCTGGAAAACCATGTATCAAAGTGTGTCAAACAAAAGATATAAAATACCAACTAGAACGACGTTCTAAACAGAAACTAATAAATCCCACTCTCATCCTTTTCTATTTCCATTTCTTTATGTATTTGCGCTTATCGCACAAATATTAATTTCTTACCGAAGAAAGATAACTCCTTTTATTTTTTTTGATAAAATCGTGCAAAAAAATCATGTGTCATGCAAAGTAAAAAAATAAAACAATTGTATTGAGCCTATACAACTTATGTTAACATTTAAATGTTTTCAATACAGAATCAAACCTATTAAGGGTCTCTGTTAGCTACAATAAGTGGTAGAGAGGGGCGGTAACTCTCACACGTCTATGTCTTACCAGCCTCTCCATGTCGGGGTGGCCACCTAGCCATAGATACTTGTTCAGGTCCATCATCGTCCTTGTTCCCGTCACTACAAAGTCACTTCCGTCCACAACCATTCCCGTGACGGTCTGGTCCACTTCATGTCCATTCACTTCTATCTGACGGTTTAAGTTCCGGAAAAACTCTACCTAAAAGGAAAATAATATGCACACATGATTACTAGATACTGTTCACCGCTAACTGTGTCTACATACAATCACAAAGTGCGTTGATAATGACAATTTTAACTCAATTCGTAAAACGTTTACTGAACAGATGTACATGTACACCTTTCAAGTTCGAATGAAAACAGTTTAGCATAAGGGGAAAGTTTCTCGACCCTTTTATTCCATAGCTGCCTTTTGGATGTATGTGCCCAAGAGGTTAAGCAAATATAAAAAATAAATGGGTCATTATTTGAATATCGTAAGTTTTTGGCGGAAATAGGTTCAGTACATATTGGCCAACATGTGTGTAATATCGCACAAATCATGCATAATCCCACTCCAAATTTTCGTAATATCATGTGGGTAGGTTTGAATTGTGACGTCATTTATGTTTGAGAAAAAATACAGAAACAAAATTAAACAAACCAAACGAAGTCACAATAGAAACCATCTCTAAAAACTCATTGTGTGTCAGGGGGTACATGTTTGGACAAATTAGAGGCCTGAGCTTCTTGTGTAGGGATACAGTATTCGCAGCTAATCGGAGGCCATCTGGAATACGTCATCGAAACCATGCATAGTCGTAATGGGGATCATTAGGTATAAAAAAGATGACCACGTACGTATTCTTATTATAAAGTGATTCCTCGTAACCCTGACTCTGACATGGGAACACGATAGTCCAGGGTCTATATATTATACTAACATGTATATGATACCATTCATCACGACACCGACTTTCAAGTGATCATCAATGGTATTATATACATGTTCGCTGAGGGAAACGATCAGATGCTACCGACTGAGTCGTCACGAGCTACAAACCTCAACCCAGGTTCCGTTATTGACGGTGAAGTCAGTCTGGACGTGACTTCCGAACGACTGTCCTGCTCCGTAGGGGGCGGGGTTAAAGGCGAAGAAATGGAGGATGCCATTTTGAATGAAGAGACTCTCATAGTCGTGTGGCTTGTGTTCTGTGTAGTTTCCCTCCACATAGTACAATAGCTCGTTCGCCTTCAGTGTGTTAAACTTCATCTTGTACTTAAACCTACGAAACAAATGATAGTTCAAACCTCGGAACATGTTAAAGTGTCTTAACTGACACCGGAGTCTTCAAAATACTTCGATGAAACTGGAATCACCTTAGACCGGATATATAGCTGGAACAGGAACCTATAAAACATCTCTTAGCAGACACCGGAACCTACAAAAATATGATATCTTAAACTGGAACCATAGTTGGAACCAGAGCCTGTAAAACACATTTTACAGCTGTGGCTGAAACCGGAAGCTGCAAAAACATCACAGCAATGAAAAAAATCTTTTCATGATATCTGAAACCATACTCATCTGGGAGTATGTCAAACCGGAAACCGGAAAACTGAGACAGGAACTACATTAATGATAGTAGCTGAAGCTTGAACCTAAAAATCAGATAAAGCTGAAACCGCAATTTGAAAAACAAAGGTGTCCTATTTTGCAATCATCGAATGAAGACAATACAGGTGACGTAGTATTAAATATCAGAACAACATACACGTGATTACGTTTATATAGGAACAACACAAACACGTGACCACATTTATATAAGAACAACATAAACACCACGAATATATCGGATCAAAAAGCAATGAGACCAGAATAAGTCAGAACAAAAACACGTGACCAAATACATATCGCATATAAGAATTGACCTTCATTTTGAAGGCGTATACGGTAGTCAAGTAACGCGCTTTAGGAATAAGTTCGTTGCTTCATACTACCGTATAAATAAAACCTTTGCCAGCATCCCGTTGTAAAATTAGGTATGCTGCATCCCGAATATGCTCCGTGTTTCTATATGTTAAAAGAACCACGCATGCAATAGTTGTCATCGATCCGTTCTCTCTCTCTCTGAACCGCCAAGTAAACATAGAAGTAGACCGGCGCCATTTTTTTTAAACAAGTATCAATCCGCCGAACATTTTCTCAATGTTCATACGCAGTCATATCATAACACGTAAACATACATACTAAACACAAGGATGTATTCAATGTTTAGTATTCTTCAAAACTTGAAACAGGTTCAAGCAAATCAGGATATCGCGATTTGAAGATAGCAAAGCATTTGTCAGATTATAGAGCATGAAATTCCGGTCTAACACAAGCCACATGGATGCATTTAAAAGTGTACTATTAATATACCGGCTGTATTTAATTCCGTACAACCTAACCGTGAGTTACTGACCTGATGATGTCCAAACTTACCTTGTTGAAATGTCCTCATTGTTGTCGAACACGACCATGTTCATCGTGGAGCCATCAAGTCGGAAACATCTGTTGTCCTGGGCAACGGTCACTCTCTACAACAGATTTCAGCATACATATCATTGTACCTTTTGTCATGTGCCTACTATATGGCTATGTATCTTTTATAAACTTGGTGCCTGAACCGAACCTGTTTCTTAGTTCCTGTTTTCATGTGCTCAGAATATGGCCAAATGCCTGTATTCATGAGCCTATTATCACATACATACAACCGTACATGTTGTCGTGTATCCGTTGTTTTTTATATGATGCCGTGTACATGTGTCTGTTGTAATGTACCTATTGGCGTGTATCTGTAGTTATGTATATGAGGTCGTGTATCTGTAGTTATGTATATGAGGTCGTGTATCTGTTGCTATGTACCTGCTGTCATGTATCTGTTGTCATGTATCCGTTGTTATATATATGATGTCATGTATCTGTAGTTATGTATATAATGCCGTGTATCTGTAGTTATGTACCTGCTGTCATGTATCTGTTGTTATGTACCTGTTGTCATGTATCCGTTATAATGTATATTATGTCGTGTGTCTGTTGTTATGTGTATGAGGTCGTGTATCTGTTGTTATGTATATGAGGTCGTGTATCTGTTGTTATGTACCTATTGTTGTTGTGTATCTGTTGTCGTGTATATGTTGTTATGTGTCTGTTGTCATGTATATGTTGGTATGTACATGTTGTCGCGTATATGTTATTATGTACATGTTATCGTGTATATATTGCTATGTACATGTTGTGTATATGATGTTATGTGCATGTAGTCATGTATCCGTTGTTATGAACATGTTGTCGTATATATATTGCTATTTACATGTTGTGTATCCGTTGTTATGTGTCTGTTGTCGTGTATCTGTTATTATGTACATGTTGTCGTGCATATCTTTTTATATACCTGTTGTCTTGTATATATCATTTTGTGTTTGTTGTTGTCGTGTATCAGTTGTTATGTATATGTTATCATGTATATGATGTTATGTTCATACTGTCGTATATATGTTGCTATGTACATGTTGTGTATATGTTGTTATGTACATGTTGTCGTGTATCCGTATTGCTATGTACATGTTGTGTATCCGTTGTTATGTATCTGTTGTCGTGTATCTGTTATTATGCACTTGTTGTAGTGTATCCATTGTTATGTACATGTTGTCGTGTATATGTTTTTATGTACATGTTGTCGTGTTTATGTTTTTATATACCTGTTGTCTTGTATATAGTATTACGTGTTTGTTGTGTGTATGTTGTCGTGTATAAGTTGAACTGTATATGTTATCATGTATATGAAGTTATGTTCATGTAGTCATGTATCCGTTGTTATAAACATGTTGTCGTATATATATTGCTATTTACATGTTGTGTATCCGTTGTTATGTGTCTGTTGTCGTGTATCTGTCATTATGTACATGTTGTCGTGTATCAGTTGAACTGTATATATTATCATGTATATGATGTTATGTACATGTAGTCATGTATCCGTTGTTATGAACATGTTGTCGTATATATATTGCTATTTACATGGCGTGTATCTGTTATTATGTACATGTTGTAGTGTATCCGTTGTTATGTACATGTTGTCGTGTATATCTTTTTATATACCTGTTGTCTTGTATATATCATTATGTGTTTGTTGTTGTGTGTATGTTATCGTGTATCAGTTGTTATATATATGTTATCATGTATATGATGTTATGTGCATACTCTCGTATATATGTTGTTATGTACATGTTGTCTTGTATCCGTTGTTCTGTACATGTTGCCGTGTATTCGTTGTTATGTACCAGCTGTCGTGTATATGTTGTTATGAACCAGTTGTCGTGTATATTTTGTTATGAACCAGTTGCCGTGTATATGTTGTTATGTACCAGTTGTCGTGTTTATGTTGTTATGTGTCTGTTGTCGTGTATATGTTGTTATGTGCCAGTTGTCGTGTATATGTTGTTGTGTGTCTGTTGTCGTGTATATTTTGTTATGTACCAGTTGTCGTGTTTATGTTGTTATGTACCATTTATCGTGTATATTTTGTTATGTACCAGTTGTCGTGTTTATGTTGTTATGTACCATTTATCGTGTATATTTTGTTATGTACCAGTTGTCGTGTTTATGTTGTTATGTGTCTGTTGTCGTGTATATGTTGTTATGTACCAGTTGTCGTGTATATTTTGTTATGTACCAGTTGTCGTGTATATGTTATATACCAGTTGTCGTGTAAATATTGTTATGTGTCTGTTGTCGTGTATATTTTGTTATGTGTCTGTTGTCGTGTATATTTTGTTATGTACCAGTTGTCGTGTATATGTTGTTATGTACCAGTTGTCGTGTATATGTTGTTATGTACAAGTTGTCGTGTATATATTGTTGTGTCTGTTGTCGTGTATATTTTGTTATGTACCTTTTGTCGTGTATATGTTGTTATGTACCAGTTGTCGTGTTTATGTTGTTATGTACCATTTATCGTGTATATTTTGTTATGTACCAGTTGTCGTGTGTTTGTTGGTATGTACCAGTTGCCGTGTGTATGTTGTTATGTACCAGGTGTCGTGTATATGTTGTTATGTACCTGTTGCCGTGTATATGTTGTTATGTACCAGTTGTCGTGTATATTTTGTTATGTACCAGTTGCCGTGTATATGTCGTTATGTGTTTGTTGCCGTGTATATGTTGGTATGTACCAGTTGTCGTGTATATGTTGTTATGTACCAGTTGCCGTGTATATGATGTTATGTGTATGTTGCCGTGTTTATGTTGTTATGTACCAGTTGTCGTGTATATGTTGTTATGTACCAGTTGTCGTGTATATGTTGGTATGTACCAGTTGCCGTGGATATGTTGTTATGTGTCTGTTGTCGTGTAGATGTTGTTATGTGTCTGTTGTCGTGTATATGTTGTTATGTACCAGTTGTCGTGTATATGTTATGTACCAGTTGTCGTGTATATGTTGTTATGTTCCAGTTGTCGTGTATATGTTGTTATGTACATGTTGTCGTGTATATATTGTTATGTGTCTGTTGTCGTGTATATTTTGTTATGTACCTTTTGTCGTGTATATGTTGTTATGTACCAGTTGTCGTGTATATGCTGTTATGTACCATTTGTCGTGTATATTTTGTTATGTACCAGTTGTCGTGTATATATTGTTATGTGTCTGTTGTCGTGTAGATGTTGTTATGTACCTGTCGCCGTGTATATGTTGTTATTTATCAGTTGTCTTGTATATTTTGTTATGTACCAGTTGCCGTGTATATGTTGTTTTGTGTCTGTTGTCGTGTATATGTTGGTATGTACCAGTTGTCGTGTATATGTTGTTATGTACCAGTTGCCGTGTATATGTTGTTATGTGTCTGTTGCCGTGTTTATGTTGTTATGTACCAGTTGTCGTGTATATGTTGTTATGTACCAGTTGCCGTGTATATGTTGTTATGTACCAGTTGTCGTGTATATGTTGTTATGTACCTGTTGTCGTGTATATGTTGTTATGTGTCTGTTGTCGTGTATATGTTGTTATGTACCAGTTGCCGTGTATATGTTGTTATATACCAGTTATCGTGTATATGTTGTTATGTACCAGTTGTCGTGTATATGTTCGTATGTACCTATCGCCATGTGCCTGTGTCGTGTTTTTGTTGCATTGTACCTGCTTAACCAGCCACGGTTCTTTGTGTCATACAATTTGACTTGGATGAGTAAGCTGAAACAGACAGCTTAAGCTTTGTTTCATTAAAAATGATTGACCTTGCACGCCCAATCCTAAAAGTATTCAAGGTTTTGGTGTGTACTGCTCATGGACATTTTCTGCAAAGTTAATGCACATTCTGACAAAACCGTGTTCCTTGTGCAGTCACGTGTATACATACACTCGGAGAACTAATATAGGGAAAACATTAGTGCAAATTGTATTTTCATTTCGTCATTAAACCCATTTTTTTATACACCTTACTCGCATTTCGGATTTTTTTTAATATCTAGATCTAAAGGACGTTTGCTGTTAAATGTACAGTGTTAGACCTGGTTTTGTTCCAGACTGTTAAGTCAGCGCTAGTAATACAAGATGTACAAACCTGTGAGATATTCTATATAACCCATACAATGTTCATGCAAATTCACTTAGTTTTTATTAATATGAATATTGTTCTAACATCAAAGCGTTCCTGATGAAATGGGCGAACTTAAGCAGGCCGAATTGTTTGTGTTTGCAGTTGTAATAGGCCTATTGCCAAGTTTCTATTGTCAGATTCTGCCAAACTTCAAACACCCTTTCTGTTATCATACGATAACAGCATGTGGGATCAGTCCACCTACTGGCTGGATTCTTGACCAAAGGCAACAGACTTCAATCAGGTAAAATTTATATATATATATATTCGTTACGATTTGTATAGTTACAGGTTGTAAGCTCATCAAAATTCCACCTTAACAATCTAGGCAACATATACACAGTAGCAAATCTACGCTGAAATTAACAAACAGATGGTACGAATGAAAAACAAAAACATGTGTTCCAACTATTGGATTCACGTGTTGTGTTGTGACGTAACACAAATCATGATTGACGTCACATAATGAGTGAGCGAATACCGAGACGCGTAATGACGTCAGACGATAATTTAAGTTTCGTGCCATACATACAAGACCGCTAATCCTACTGTTATCACACAGACACGAAAGCTGGCAGTGATACTGTGAAGACAAATTATTCACTGTTCCCTTCATTTTCTTCGGATGCCTTTATTCTCAGGCGCGGTCCTTTACGATGTACAACAATTTGGGACGCGTTCCTTTATTATGTTATGGAACGAATGTAGGGCTAGGTAGCAAACTCTGCCAGAAATAGTAAGAGAAAAAATCTTTGAAATACGAAGAGGACACTTCAGCAAAGTCCAACCTCCCTTGTTATCTGAAGATGGATGAGTGTTCCAATTATAATACGTTTATAGAATCTACCATTAACAACTTTTAACTACAAGGACATGCCTTTATAGTCTGACCAGCGTAATTTCCTACTAACATGTTCGATGCTCAGCCAATAAAACGTCAGAGTGGAACTTCGTTAGCCCGAATTCTACAGTCGTGAAAGGCGAGATTCTGAATTACCGGAAACACTCGGGTGAACTTATAGAACACGTGTATATTATAAACTGATGTGACAGTTTACCACCAAATGTTTGTGAGGAGTGTTGGCTTTGTTCATGTCATATTGAATGGTGTTTTGTTGTACATATTAAAGAAACTGTGGAGACTTTCTCTTCAACAAACCTTACATTTTATTGCTCATATTTTGCATAGTTTAAAAATATGTTGGTGATAATGATGATGCTGGTCTGTGATGCATGTGCCAGGTATACGTAATTGTTACTTGTTTTGTACATGTATATTCGATAGGTTGCACAACTTACGGAAATAAATCTAATGGACATAAATGTTTAACATTAATTAGGCGCAGACAAGCGATGGGTCAAATTTGTTTTACTTGTTCAATGTTTTGCGTCCCGATCGCAACTGCTAAGAGTATCACGACAGTGCCACAGATGTTAGGACCACTCAAGGAGCATGGGAATGAAATGGAAATGTACTTAACCACATTTTGAAAAGTGCACACAATGACGCATGGCGACTTTATCGAACTGTCATAGACAGAACTACCACTGGGTACATACAAATATCTTATACAACTAGGACAAAGACCCGGCAGGCCCCGCTTAGTTGTCGGGAATGACATGCGCAACAATAGTTTGGGAGCCCAAAGCGTAGAACGCAATAACGCAGTATGGAATGCATTAATTCAATTGGAAGATATACCATTGACATGTCCGATAACGATTCATGTAAGACGTGGAAACTAGTGATAGTGACTGTACGCATGCAATGTCCTCCGATACTTCTAGATAAAACTGTTCAGCTCTCTCTAATTGATTGTTGCGTAATGTTTAAGAAAGGTAAGAAAAACTTATTTCGAGAACTGTAGTTTTTTTTAGCTACGTCTTATGCGTATTAGCCGGTGTTCCTATCAGAAGTAGGACGGTATCCGGAGTCCTTCGTGAGCCGGTGAACTAATTATATGTGTCGTTTAGTGGTCCACTTACTCACATCCTTAAAACTCACTTGCTGACTTATATTGTTAACACTATACATTGGAACATCTGGCGTTTTAATAACGTAGAATGGATCTTAATAATGGGTTACCCCAATCACAACGTCACACATATAAACAGATCATCTAGGATAGGTCAGAAGTCTTTATCATGTAAAATTAAACAGAAGGTTAATATATTTCCGAAAATTATTTAACAATTTTCCAAAACATAAGCGGAATACCAAGAAAACATACCTTTATATCGTCCGAATAGCGGGGAATAAAATAAAGACCCACAATCCTTGTTACTTTGATATGATAACCCATCAGGCTATTATGATGTGATGACCCATCAAGTTATGATGTGATAACGCGACTAGATTATGATATGATAACCCACCAGGTTATGATGTAAAACCCCGATCAGATTGTGTTGTGATAATCCGACCAGATTATGACGTGATAACCCGACCAGATTTTGATGTGATAACCCACCAGATTATGGAATGATAACCTACCAGTTTGTGATTATGATATGATGACCTAACCAGATTATGATATGATAACCCACCAATTTATGATGTGATAACCCGACCAGATTATGATAGGATAATCCATCCAGTTTATGATAGGATGACTCGGCCAGATTATAATGCAATAACCCGACCAGAATATGACGTATTAACCCGACCGTATATGATATGAAAACCCAACCAGATTAGTATACCAGAGGCTATGATATGATAACCTGGTCATAGGTTATAATATGATAACCCAACCAGAGGCTATGCTGTGATAACCTGGCCATAGGTTGTAATATGATAACCCAACCAGAGGCTATGATATGATTACCTGGTCATAGGTTATAATATGATAACTCGACCAGAGGCTATGATGTGATAACCTGGTCATAGGTTATAATATGATAACCGAACCAGAGGCTATGCTGTGATAACCTGGCCATAGGTTATACAATGATAACCCAACCAAAGGCTATGCTGTGATAACCTGGCCATAGGTTATAATATAACTCGACCAGAGGCTATGATGTGATTACCTGGCCATAGGTTATAATTTTAGACACTGCACTGCTTTCAGTTGACAGCACACTTCATTGAATTTGCCTCTGACCAGTTGGCATTAATATCGCAAATGAATGCCAACTGAAAGCTGTTAAATCCTTACATTTACCTCATAGAAATTTCAGTTACACTTTTTATTGTTTATCATTAAGTTAGAATAATGTATGCATCGTGTATGCTTGTTCAACGATTAGAACAGCCATCTGTCAAGGGATCCCGGAGTGCCAGTACAATTATAAGGAATCATGATGACGTCAACAATCGGTCCATATGGCATTCGTTGCTTGCATTAATGTCATCTGAATTGGGTAGGGTTATATATAGTGGCAATGACATACAACGGTAAACATGTTATGATAAACCGACCAGAGGCTATAATACGAACAATGACAGAAAGATCACAAAACTTTTACCATTGTCCTACCTCCCGCGATGACATTGATTGGGGTAGGGGATGGACGCTGGCAGTGGCATTTCTCACCTGACAATCTGATCGTTATGCACAAAGTCTATGGAGAACCATTACTACCGTTCAGTTATGCCAATGGTAAGATTCGAACAAACATTACAATGACTCAGGCTGCCAAATAAGTTGTGATCTTAAGACTGGTAATGACAGAACGTTTAGTCGGGACAGAAATTAAAACATGGATAAAAATCCAAATGATTAACTTGTCTTCCGTATACATATAACATTTATATATTTTCCCCAAATATAAGATTATCTTCCCTCCACTAATGAAATGGGGATGATCATATCACGATGTGTTATACCAATACGTGGTTACGTACCTGGAGTAAGAGGAGAGAGCCGAGGAGAGAGCAGATGAGTAAGGTCCACATGATGCTGGGTTTGTGGGAGCGGGTGATGCACGTACACGGTATGCATAGCCTCTCCACACACTTTATCACTGCGCATTGTCTGTATACATTGTCTAGAGCGGTTCAGTGACCGTCATACATCATAATCAACCCAGATAAGTTTTGGCCACAGAAATTGAAATATAATTAACGGAATGAAAATATTATCGTTTGTTGATGTTCGGTAGAGGTAATTGGCCGTGTACAGCCCTCCAATCACGTCTTCTAATCCGCCATTTAAAGGCGATAAACACGAAGGCCTGGGCCTGGTGCTTCATTCACGGCGGAACGAAATTGGTTGCGATCCAACAGTGAATGTAGAAGTACAAACTTTTGTTATGAAGTGTTAAGGTGTGTGAGCTGTCTGTTTTATGTTGTATCTTGTCTGTTACTCTCAGTATATACGCTACGGTTTGGTCTATGTGTTGTTTTGTAGTGTGTGCTTTGTTCACTGAATTATGCTATACTGTACGTGTTGTGATGTGTCCTGTGGACACTGGTGTAATGTGGACATTACATTGGAAGTGGTGTACGTGTATATTGTGTGTTGTGTCCTTTGATAATTGTTGCGTTGTGTTTTGCGGTTACTGTTGTTGTTTGTAGTTGACACTGGTGTGTTGTGTGTTGCGGACAACGTTGTTGTTTGTAGTTAACACTGGTGTGTTGTGTGTTGCGGACAACGTTGTTGTTTGTAGTTGACACTGGTGTGCTGCGGTCGGTCACCGTTGTTTTATGATGGTGCGTTGTGTTTTGCGGTCACTGTTGTTTTTTGTAGTATGGACACTGTTGCATTGGGCCAAGTGAGTTTATGCCATGGTGCGGCGTCCGTCGTCCGGCGTCAATATTTTAATTTAAACAACTTTTTCTTAATAACCACAAGGTCTAGGGTGATGATATTTGGCCAGAAGCAAACTGGGATGAAGGGCTACCATGTTTGTTAAAATAAATGACCTTCATCCATATGCAAGGTCATAGGGGTCAAATATGTTAAAAACGTTAAACACCCTCTTCTGAATAAACAAAATGTCCATGGTGATAATATTTGGTCAGTAGCAAACAAGGATGAAGGGCTACCAAATTTGTTTAAATGCATGACCTCCACTCATATTCAAGGTCACAGGGGTTCAGTTGTCTTGAAAAAAAATAAACCACTTCTTCTGAATAACCAAAATGACCAGGAGGGTGATATTTGGTCAGGAGCATGCTGGGATGAAGGGGTACAAAGTGTGTAAAAAATAAATCACCTTCACTCATATTCAATGTCACAGGGGTCAATTATGATAAAAACTTAAAACATTTTTTACTGAATAACCGAAATGCCAAGGATGATGATGATTTGCGAGTAGCACGCTGGGATCAAGGACTACCACGTTTGTTCAAATGGATAACCTTCATTTATATTCAAGGTCATAGGGGTAAATTGTCTAAAAAAAGAACTTTAAACAACTTCTCCTGAATAACCAAATAGACCAGGATGTTGATATTTGGTCAGGAGCAAGCTGAGATAAAGGGCTACTAAGTTTGTTAAAATAAATGACCTTGACTCATATTCAATGTCACCGGGGTCAAATTTGTATAAACAAAACTTTTAAACAGCTTCTTCTAAATAACCATGAGGACCATAATGTTGATATTTGGCCTTTACAATGCTTGGATGAAGGGCCACCAAGTTTGCTAAAATGAATGACCTTTACTTATATTCAAGGTCACAGGGGTCAAATATGCTTAAAATCTTTAAACGACTTCTTCTGAATAACCATGAGGTACAGAATGTTGATATTTGGCCATAAGCATGCTTGGATGAAGGGCTACCAAGTTTGCGAAAATGAATAACCTTGACTTATATTCAAGGTAACAAGGGTCAACTATGTTAAAATCTTTAAAAGACTTTTTCTGAATAACCAAAAGACCCAGGAGGATGATATCTAGCCAGTATTATGCTAGGATCAAGTTGCGTTGTGTGTTGCGGTCACTGTTGTTTTTTGTAGTAAACTGTTGTGATGTGTGTTTCGGACACTGTTCTTTTTTGTAGTATGGACACTGTTGCGTTGTATGTTGCTGACACTGTTGTTGTTTGTAGATGACACTGATGTGCTGTGTGTTGTTGACAATGATGATTGTAGTATGAACACTTTTGCGTTCTGTGTTGCGGACACTGTTTTTTTTTTTTGTAGTATGGACACTGTTGCGTTGTATGTTGCTGACACTGTTGTTGTTTGTAATTCACACTGATGTGTTGTGTGTTGTTGACAATGTTGATTGTAGTATGGACACTTTTGTGTTGTGTGTTGCGAACACTCATGTGTTGTTTGTAGTTGACTCTGTTTCGTTCTGTGTTGCGGCCACTGGTTTTTTTTATAACATAGCCACTGTCGCGTTGTGAGTTGTGGACATTGCTGTGTTGTTTGTTGTCGACTCTTTTGTGTTGTGTGATTTTGACACTGTCGAATTGTGTGCAGTGGACAGCATTTTAAACGTGCTGTGTTTCGTTGATATGTTGTGTGGTGTGGACACTTGTTTTAAGTATTGAAGTCACAATTGTCGTTTGTCGTTAAACCCGTTTTGTGGGTGTTTTAGAGACTGTAATGTTGTATGCTGTTTATACTGTGATGTTTTTGACACTGTTGTCAGAGTTATGTGGTTTACCGATGTGGTGTGTGCTGTGGAATGTTGTTTACAACCGACATATTTTATGTTGTTTACACTCTGGTATGTACTGTGATAAAGTAGTGTTGCTATGTAGCGTGTTCATTGTGAACGCAATTGTGTTGTGTTAATGTTGTATGTTGTGTAGATGCTACATTTGTATCAATACTGTAAGATGGCAATCTGATTAAAATCATCTGTTACATGGCTCCGCCTGAACATGTTCAGGCGTAGTACGAAGTTAACGAAGCCATGTAACATAAGATTTTAATCAGGTTGGTAGGATGGGATCTGCTCGCTGTTGTGTGTGTGTTAAACATGGACACTATTGGGTTCGGTGATATGGACAATGTTGTGTTAAATGTTGTGGTTGTAGACGATATCGTGATTAGTGTTGTTGATACTGTTGTGTTAAATATTGTGTTCAGTGTTGTGTTCAATGTTGTGTTCAGTGTTGTGGACACTGTTCTGTTTAGTGTTGTGGACATTGTGGCGCCTTGTGTTGTGGACACTACGGCCTGTTGTATTTAGCGTTGTGGACACTGTTGTGTTCAGTGTTGTTGACAATGTTGTGTTTAATGTTGTGGACCCTGTTGTGTTAAGCGTTGTGGCCACTATCGTGATCAGTGTTGTGGACACTGTTCTGTTTAGTGTTGTGGACATTGTGGTGCTTTGTGTTGTGGACACTAGGGCCTATTGTATTTAGTGTTGTGGACACTATTGTGGTTAGTGTTATGGACACTGTTGTGTTTAGTGTTGTGGACATTGTTGTATTTAGTGTTGTGGACACTTTTGAGTTTAGTGTTGTGGTCAGTGTTATGGACACTGTTGTATCAAATGTTGTGGACACTGTTGTATTATATGTTGTGGACACTGTTGTGTTTAGTGTTGTGGACACTGATGAATTAATTGTTATGGACACTGTTTAGTTTAATGTTGTAGACACTGTTGTATTATATGTTGTGGACACTGTTGTGTTAAGTGTTGTGGACACTGCTTTGTGTAGTGTTGTCTAAATTGTTTAATTAATGTTGCGGCCACTGTTGTATTTAATGGTGTGGACACTGTTGTAGTAAGGGTTGTGTACACTGTTGTATTACATATTGTGGACACTTTCATGAATAGTGTTGTGGACGCTGTTTTGTGTAGTGTTCTGGAAATTGTTATGTTAAGTGTTGTGGACACTGTTGAATTAAGTGGTGTGGACACTGTTGTATTAGTGTTGTGGACACTGTTGTGTTTAGTGTTGTGACCACTGTTATATTAAGTATTCTCGACACTGTTGTATTAAGTGTTGTGGACACTGTTGTATTAAGTGTTGTAGACACTGTTGTTTTTAGTGTTGTGACCACTGTTATATTAAGTGTTGTGGACACTGTTGTGTTTAGTGTTGTGGACACTGTTGTATTAAGTGTTGTAGACACTGTTGTGTTAAGTGTTGTGGACACTGTTATATTAAGTGTTGTGGACACTGTTATATTAAGTGTTGTGGACACTGTTGTGTTTAGTGTTGTGGACACTGTAATATTAAGTGTTGTGGACACTGTTGTGGTAAGTGTTGTTGCCATTGATGTGTCTGAGCTGTACGTATTTTTTTAATGTCGTTATTTTGTACAGATGACAGCTAATTCTTTCTTGTTCACTTTAATTAGTACAAAGAAGTGAATGGATTGCCTCGAAAAATACCTACCGGTAAATGGAACAAATAGCATTATGTTTTTATTCTGGTTATCAATTGTACGTCATTGATTATGTGACCAAATTGATTGCACTATATGGTGACAGCTCTAATTTTCAAAACAAATATTCCACACAAAAAATGATGTTATCTGTTTTTATGTATATGTTTTAGAAAATATTCAGAATTGAGATATACATCAAAACAAAACTGTTTAATACAAGCAAAAACAAAATACAAAACAAAAACAAAAAACGCACTCCCCCTACTTATCCATAAAAGTTGACTGATACAGTGGTGACTTTTTGTTCAACTACAACTACTTCCTTCTCAGTTATCCTCTACCACTTGTAATTGTGGATACCACAATCTCTTTTCTTTAGCGTCAATAACACGTTTACATACATTGAACTTTTTCACAACAATTACGAAGCAAATAAATCAGCTTTATATTATATTTATCACTCTTGTTGGCGCGGATGGTAGCGCACAGGGAGTCGTAATGTGAAAGAATACCGGAGTACTCAAAGAAAACCCACGTGGTCGCGAAGGTGACCTCATACCTTTTCACGTCCGCTAACTCCGGTCGTCTTTGTGAAAGGCGGTCGACTGGGCTATTCACTGCGCCACTCGAACTTTTTTTTACATCAAGACATTTATGGCCATCTCATAATCAGAATATGTCAAGATTTACTTTTAACGAGACGAAAATTAAATGGTCCTTTCACTTCCAAAAACTACCTGAAGGTGACAAAGTAGATTTAATGCATGATTGCTGATTAATGATTTAATGATTGCTAAATTTCATTTCTACGGTAGTAACATATATGCTAGCATTCTCTCTGATATATGGTATACATGTCAGGGTTGATTCGTTATTCCATATCCCATCTTCTTAGTCAAGGTTTCCTATCAGAAATGATTCATTCTACGCTTACTATACGCTATGGACATTTTACTTTCGTTATCGGCAACCTGGTTGTGTATTTACATTTGATTTAGTACTGCCCAATTTGACTTTC